GACTCACCACGCAGCAGGCTGCCCCGCAGCTGTGCACACGAGAGCTCAGGCTACCGAGGAACAAGGAGCTCGGAAGGCCTGAGAGCTGAGGCCCCCGGCGCTTCCCAGGTCTCTGCCACGGCGCCAGGTCAGCAAGCTGGCAGGAAGCCGGGTAAGGGCTGCATTGAAACGCTACATTCTGAGGAATCAGCAAATACTTCAATGAAAAACGTCAGAATTTTTCCAACGGACTCTGCTCGCAATCTAAACAAATAAAGGGCGTGGGGAGGAAACGCTGTCCTTATTTTACGCCGCAGGGATGGAGGCACAGAGATGCCAAGTGACTTCTGCTGCATGCTACAGAAAGCCTGTGCTCGGGAGGCAAAGCGCGGTTCCATACGGCCCCGCAAGCACAAGAGTCTCCTTCCTCGGAGCTTAATTAATGTGCCATTACAATGACCTTGGGAGATAAGTGCTGCTCTCATTTTATAAGTAGGAAACTGAAATCACTTTTACAACAGCAAATAGGAAGCCTGTATGTCCTGAGCCAGGACATGAACCCAATATTCTTAAAGCTGCTAATCTTTAGTAGCAAGCTGAGCTTTTTCTGCTATGGACAAGGTATGCAGACAAGACACAGTCGGCCTTGGTGGATAAGGCTACTAATAGCAGCAAAATACGTCTTTGTTACAGTCTTCTCACACTGAAGACACTACATCCAAATAAAAATACTGTTTTTCTGTGGCCAAAGCCCTCAAATGTGGCAATAAAGGCAATACGTAAAGCTCTGCTTTCACATAAAATGAGGTAAGCAATGCTTCACTAAAAAATCACATACACGGTTAAACTGGTTCTCCTGGCTCTGTTGAATGCCTGTACATACCTGCAGCTGTATGTACCCAACCAGCTCTCCCTGCTCTCTTATGGCACATCTTCACATCTGTGAAGAATTTGCAATTTGATATGGTAATGGTATCAATGTAAGGTAAGTGTAAGACATTTGTGCTAGGGATGTATCTTCTGCTGCTACAATGAAAATCTGCTCAAATTCAGTGAAGTCACGAACGTTTCAAATCTGTCTCTAAGTGCATAATGGCGACCTTGGAGTTTATCAAAAAACTGCCACAAATTCTCTTCTCACTAAACATGCCTCAGTCCACGGCTCCATTTCCCAGTGCTCTCACTGCTGCCACCTGAGTGCCACAGAGGAAGAGAAAGGGGCCACACAAAAGCTTACAAGAGTTACAAGCAAAACTATCTACAGTTTGAGCAAAGAAGAGGGAAAGAACAGAGCTCTTGGTTGAGGGTGAAACTCTGACTGAGAACTGCGGAGGAAAGACTGGACTGGGACCAAGTAGGCAGGAAGTAAAAATTAGAATTGCTTGAGCAAGGAGATTTTGACATACAGAAGACGGGATAACAGGATTAGGAGTTCTCAAGGGAAATTAGGAACAAACTAGGATTCACTAAGAAAAAGAGACTGACATTGTGTGAGAAATATGAATGGGATGCACAGGAGTCATGGGAGTAGAAGTACTTAGGTTTGCCTGGGAAGGAGATGGGGAAAAAAACATGTAGATGCAGAGCAGGACTGAGAACAAAGGATGGAGTTTGGATGGGAGACTAAGAGTTTAATGAGTGAATGCTGGAAACAGGGGAAGGCACCTAACAGGAGAAAGGAGAAGACTTGGAGCCAGATGAAAGATGATGCGGAAGAAGAGAGGCAGCTTGAAGCAAAAGAGTCTGTGTTCACTTAAACACACTTTCCTCCAGAGTCCATAAAGAGTCCTGAGAACCAGCACTGCTGTAGGGTAATCAAATGTGTTTTAGAAGCACTGGCAAAGTGTGTTTTTCACCGTTTACTAGTTTGGTTTATTCAATGGTGACACACTATACTAGAACTGTAGCAGCCTTTCTGAAAGTTGTTTTTACAAACAAATTCTATGACAGTCAATATAATGTCTCATGTGAAATACTGCAATATAGAATGACTCGCAAAATGAAACCTTAAAAGACAGTAAATACCATAGCTAGTGTTTCCTATGCTTGTGAGAGGGAAGATATAGAATAACTTTCATGTGAGGCAAGCAGAATAAAATTCAGTCTGGAAAAGAGATAGCCAATGGGGATACAACAGAGGTCTGTAGAAATCACAAATGGCAAAAATAAGAGAGTGGAAAAGGATTTCCCATCTCTTTCAATGAAGGACCTAAGGTACAGAAAATGAACCCACAGTGAATCAGGTTCACAACAAAACAAGTTTCTACCGCTTGCCAAAGGATGGTGTTGATGCTGAAAGCCTGTATAGGTAAAGGAAAGCAGGGTATATAAACCAGTCCATGATTTCTGCTGTCTCAGCTCTGGTATGCGAACCACAAAGTGGAGGGACTTGCGGAAGTCACAGACAGCACAGAAGAAGTTAGCCCTGCCCTTACTCCGAGGTATCTGCTGCTCTTAGTGATTTGTGGAGGGGAAAAGTAGAGCCAGATCCTCAAGAAGAGGTTCCATAGGAGGCAGAGAAGCTCTGAAGCCTCTTAATGTACACCTGGACCGTGGTTTCCCGCTCACGATAAGGGCATAATCAGGATGGAAACTTCTCTTGTGGGCCATGGAGCCCAGAGTCCACGCTGCCCACTGGCCTTCCTCACCATTTTCTCATAGTAATAGACTGGGTCTCTGGGCAGGACACGAACTGAAAAATTGAATAAGCAGAACAGTAGTGGCCTCCTATAAACTGGACACTTGCCACACACTGCAAAAATATCAAATGTCCATCTTATAGTGAAAAGTGCCTGTGACTGTGCACTCTAGAAGGAGCCATAAACTGTGCCCCCAAGCATCCAGCATTTAAGGGTTTTCTCGTACTGCTAGTCACACGATGGTGTTTAACAAACCTATCACTCACTCACTGAAATTATGAATTAGAGTAAGTGAAGCCAGATAACACCAGATATGAATCAAATTGCCCTGAGGCTTAGAATTTAAACCTTTAGGGAGGACTTAGACCTGTCTCTACCACTGTCTCTACCGTGCATGTCATGCAGAGAGCTAAGCAGAATAGTGCCAAAATTAAACAACAGCCTGAGAAAGAAGTTGCCTAAAATTAGCAGGCTCAGTGTGTATTTGCATGGAGTCAGGTAAAAGTAAATGCTAGGGACAGGGCTGTGTCCTAAGCTCTGCCTCTCAGGGCTTCACTCAGACAGACTCAGTTCTTTAGCCCAGATGTCAGACTGACCTCCAACTGCAAATTACAGGCTTGTTTATTTTTTAAACATATCAAGGCTATTATGCCAAACAAAGCAATGAAATACCTTAACAGGTTTGGAATCCTAATTTCACAATGGGGTGACCTTTTTTTTTTTCTCACAGATGAAAGTCTAGTAATTAAGTCAGCTGATAGACTGACATTTCAGTTAAAGGTGTTACGTATGCTATCGTAGGACTAAAGATTACAAACTGTAGAGACGAGAACATTTCTTTTTCTTATTTTGCCTGTAGTCTAGAATGTGAAGGATCAGCAAGTTTGCAGATGATACCAAACTGGGTGGAGTGGCCGACACTCCAGAGGGCTGTGCTGCCATTCAGAGGGACCTGGACATACTGGAGAGTTGGGCAGAGAGGAACCTCATGAGGTTCAACAAGGACAGGGTTCTGCACCCAGGGAGGAAAACCCCAGACACCAGTACAGATCAGAGGTTGATCTGCTGGGAGGCAGCTCCACGGAGAGGCACTTGGGAGTCCTAGTTGATAAGAAGTTAATCATGAGTCAGCAATGTGCTCTTGTGGCCAAGAAGGCCAAAGGGATCCTGGCCCGCATCAGGAGGAGTGTTGTCGGCAGGTCAAGGGAGGTGATCCTGTCCCTCTGTTCAGCTCTGGTGTGACCACACCTGGAGTACTGTGTGCAGTTCTGGGCTCCCTGGTACAAGAGGGATGCGGAGCTTCTAGAGAGTGTCCAGCACTGGGTTACGAAGATGCCCGTTGAAAGTATCGAATGATCAAAGGATGAAGCAGGAAGTGTTGAACTACTTTCTTTTCTACATAGACATGTTGTGGGCATCACAACTGAGCAGCTCTTTCTGCTCAGCAAACTTAGGATGGTGCAGCATGGAGCAGAAGATGTCCCTCGCAAAAGGGACTGGACTGGGGAAGGTGACCGCACTCCAGCAGCACTGAGCTCAGGGCACTGTGTCAGTCACTCACTGAGGAGATATGTAAAGCCTGACCTGGACAGGAAGTACTTCTTCCTCCTTTTGGGAGGAGAGGAAGAAAGTAGAGAACTTCGGTCTTGCTACAGACACAATAGCTATGATGTGTGTCAAATACCAGCTCTGGCCAGTGTTGCCACAATACCTTTCCCCCAGCCTCATTCTTCTGAGCTGTTCAGGCTAAAAGCTTCAACACACTTTAAAAAGCAGTTCAGCAGGAAGTAAACAGCAGCAATGGGATGAGCTCCTGCCAGTTAGGGTCTGGCAAAGTGAATCTTAGCAGGAAGTTTCAAGCATCCACTTTTTATCCAGAAATTTGTGAAGATCTGGTTATTAAAAAAACAAAAAGTACTTTTTAAATACAAGAGCATACAATCTTCAAAGTTATAGGGTTTAGTTAGTAAATTTCCTCTCTGGGCAGGCTCTAGGGGAACTGTGAGACAACTCTCCCGCAGGATTTCTTCCAGTCACCTCTCAGGGCCGCTGGTGACTCTGGCTGCCGCCGCTGCCACCTTAGGCGCCTGGGACACAGCCCCCTTGGGAAGAGGG